TCAAGAATCCAAGAATCCAGATATTGGCCAGGAAAATAAACTAACCAAAAAACAAATAAAAAAAAGTAATGAAAAGCAAAGCAAAGCAAAGAAAAAAAATCAAGTGAATTAAATTCAACCAACCATAACCATTGTATAGTAAATGTTGTTTGATTCAAACAACAAAGAACCAGAACCAGATCAGAATCTGATGGTGATGGTTTAAATTGAATCCAGAATTTTCCATTCTTTTTTCGTAAGAATCGGTTTAAGAAAGAAAACTTTTAAGATTTTTTTTTTGTTTATTACTTATTTTAGTCATGTTTTCAATGCTGAATAAATGAATATTTTTTTTCAGAATTTACAAAAAAAAAATTCCTTCCATCCATCCATGTCCAGAGTAACGAAAAAATGATGATACCTATATAGAACCTTTCAAAAAGATGTAAAGTAATGTAAAACCTGCAACACATATTCGATGATGATGATATTAATGTTAATGTGGTTGTCGTTGGTGATGATTTTAAAATATTTTAAAGATATGAATGCGAGAGAGAGAGAGAGAGAGACAGGGAGACAGAAAACTTGATACTTTTCATAGGTAATGATATAGAGAGAGAGAAAAAAATGACAGAATTTTTTGGTTCAACAAAAATAACATGATAAACAACCACTGATGACAACTAAAAGTTTTTTTTTTAAATTTTTCAAAGTGAAAATTCATGTTCACTGCACACCTGTGTGTATTCAATGATGGTGATGTTAAAATAGCCGATTGTCATTATATATTTTTTTTTGTTGTTGTCATAACTATAAAATAATGATGACCATGTTCCTGGAACAACAGCAACAGAAACATTGTTTTCATTCATTCACAGTGATTTGTTACACATCCATTCTACTGACCGAAAAAAAAAAATATTTTCTTTTTGCTTTGACAAACACCTTAAAGGTTCAAAATGAATGTTGCTGTTTTTTTCAACATTTTACCTGTCATTTTATTATGTAATTTTTAATCAATTACAATTAATTAAAATACATTAATCACCTGTAATTTTTTTTTGTTTCACTGAAACACTGTCTCTGTATGATGTTAATCTATTGGGACAAACATTGAAACAAACATTGAAACAAAAAAAAAGTGAATTTGTTTCATCCCGAGTAAAATGAAATAAATTTTACAACAACCAAAAAACCAAAACGAAAAAAGTCACAAATATTTTATTTTTTTCGCTACTCTAAATACACATTTCACTATAAATTTTTTCGTTTTTTTGTTTTTCTGGGCCTGGAAAATACCAGCCAAAACTAAACTAAACTCAGTGATATCAGATATATCAGTGTGTTTGACAAGATAAATAGTATACCGCACACACACATTTATTTATATATGATGATGATGATTATTACATGGACATTATTATCATCATCAATTTCATTTATGTTGACAAATGTTTTTTACTATTTTCTTCGATAAAACATACATACCATACGACTATCCCGAAATGTTTATCTGAAAAGTTTTTCGTTTTTTTTTTTGACTTGAAAATTCATATTTTTTTAATATTCAGGTTTTTATCTTTCTTGTCATATTTTCAGTGAAAAAAAAATCACTGTGGTTTCTTCTAATTGATACATTTAGGTATACCAGGATATATATGTGTATGACAGAAATCAAAAACATTATCGTCATATGCGAATCACCACCATCGATAGATTTTATCAATTTTGAATAATTTTCTAAACGAATTTGTCGAAAAATTTCAATCAAATTCCTTATTGGATTTGAATTTGATCGATTCAAATCGATCAATCGATCGATCTCACTATAGTGATGATTTCATACACCGTTCGTTCTTTTTGATACCAAAATCGAAAAAAATTACGTCATCATGACATTCAACAACCGAAACAAAAATACACACACGACATACAAAGATGGATGATAATGTTGTTGGTATGATAAATGTGTTAATACATCATTAACATCATCAGTGTATGTGTCAGGTCAAACGTCATGTTATGTTATTTAATGTAATGTAATGTCATGTCATTTTTCTTCGTTTGTTCTGTGTTTCTCTTATCACCACCTTCTTCTTCTTCATTTATTCATTAAATGTATATGAAGAATTTTACAGAACATTTTCTGAAAAACAACAACAACTGAATTAATATGAATCGAAAAGAATTTGAAAATGACACATGACAACGATATTCACTTTAAAAAGAAACACACATTTACAAAGTTGATGAGTTTTAAAAAAAAAATTAAAAATAAAAATTTCAAACTAAACTAAACTAAGATGGATGAGATGTTTTTTTTTGGTATTTAATTGGTATTAGGTTAGGTTAATTTGACTGAATGAAAAAACTGAGTGACTGGTTTGTTTAACCTCGTGTAAACAAAAAATCAATATAACCCCAAAAAATGATCAAAAGTCTTGTTTGTCATTCAATGATGATACAAAGATCCTGGTTAATGATGACGATGATGATACATTAAAATTAATCCATTTTTTATCATCAAAAAAAAAAACATAATTTTCTGATTGATTGATTGATGTCTGACGGACGCATGTATATTACCCAAGTAATGATAATGATAATAATCTTGATTCATTCATCTAAAATGTCTAGATTTTTCTTGTCGTTTTTTCAATGATGAATCCAGACGAAATTCATCGTTATCAGATGGAAAAAACATTTTTTTTTTTTTTTGAAAAACGATGATAAAAATTGAAAAAAAAAGTTTTTTGAAATTTTTAACGATTAATAAAAATGACTTAACCATCATTTCATTCATTCATTCATTTTCACTCGTTTATCTTTGCCAGAAAATCAGACCACAGAATAATGATGATTACAAAACAAAACAAAGCAAAAAAAAAACATGATGCATTAGTGTTTATGGATCATTCATTTTATTTCCATTTCAAAAAAAAAAAAAAAATGAATGGTTGAATGAATATTCAAGATTCACCAGAAAAAAAACAAAACAAAAACTCCCATAATATTCATCATCATCATCATCATTAGAATATAGCGTGTGCAATAGTCAAACAAAATCAAGATGAAAAACCCAAAACCCAAAAAAAAGTTGTGCGTGTAGTTTTTAAAGTGCACCATCAAGTGATGATGATGGTGAAACACACAGTTCCAAAAAGCAAAAATGGATACATTGTGTGTGATGTCCTGAGCATATCAAATAGGATTAGAAAAATAGCGAAAAACTTTTTACCCCAGAAACTGAAAAAACCGAAAAATAGGCAAACACTATTGAAACGTTTCCTTTATGTGACGATGATCTACTGATCACACACACACTTCTCATACATCCTTTTGATATAACTTTGCAAGGGGAAGAAATAGAAACTTTGACTTTGTCATAAAATTTGATCTACACACACACACACGCACTTGATCTATATCAAAAAAAAAAGTAAAATGAAAAAGTAAGTCGAGTAAGTTGAATGAATGAATGGAGAAATATACCATATCATTATCATCAAAATCACGTGTGTGTGTGTGTATGCTGCACTTTGTTCAGTTTTTCGCCATTATTTTTTCGTTCATTTTCTGTGTGTGTGTCACACATGAAAGCTTGATTTTTTTCCGTTTCTGGATCAAAAATATTGAGTCATTTTAGGATTTTTTTCTTTCTCTCTCTCTGTTCGGTTTTACAATAGATGATGGGTGGTGGTTAAATGGGATTCAATCCACTGAATCCAGCATAAAAATTTTCCAGTTTTACTTTTATGTGGACAACCAAAAAACCGAAAAGTATAATCATTAATCATTGACGTTGACAACATTAAAAATCATCAACGAAAAACAAAAAAACAAAAAAAAAACATCAAGCATCAAGTTCAATGATGATGATGATGATGATTATTACCACATTCGACAGGCAATTATTACAATCTTTTTGGGGGTATTTTATTTTCCAAAAGAAAATACGATCAACGAATGGTTAAAATGTGGTTCATTTTCTTCTTGATCATATCATATAACCGAATCAAACACACTGAAACACTTTAGAGTATGTACGGTACAAAGTTCAAAAACATTACAATTCTGTGTGTGTGTGTATGTGAAAATGGATCAAACCATCATTATTTTGTGGCAAATAATGATAATCTCTTGGTTTTTTGTGTTGATTGATAAAATTGGCTGTTTTTTTTATCGCTCAATAAATTTTATTTTTAGTCCGAAATGGTTGTTTTTGTTGTTGCTGAAACTAACTTGCAAAATGGTTGTTGTTTTTCTTCGAAAAATTTTAAAAAAAAACTTGATAATGACGATGCCATCTAGTGTTGAAATCGAGCAAAAAAAAATTTCATTTTTTTTCCAAAAAAAAAGCAAAAGTAAAAAAATAGGAAATGTGAATCCGGGATGTTTTTTACTTTACTTTCGAAAAAAAGTAAAAAAAAATTACTTTTTTGAATTACGTTTACTTTCTGTCCTAAAAAAACATTGTAATAATGATTAATGATGATGATGATGATGATCAATATAAAATGATTAATCTTACTTTAATTTTTTGGTAACATTGCAAACAAACAAACAACAATTTTCATCATTTCTAGCAATTTTCCCTGAAAAGATCAATTGATTTTTCCAATTTTTTCAAAATGATGATGATTAAAAAATTTTTCTTTTTTACTTGTCGTTCGAGGATTATCATTGAAAACACAATGGTAAAAACAACAACAAGAAATTGACAACGAAGAAAAGTCTAAAATTTCTTGTTTTGTTGACATAAATTATGACAAATTTTTTCGCAATCCAAGAAAGAGAGAAAAATGATCAATAATCATCATCATTATCGATACCAATTAAAATGGATTTATTTCCTTTTTCATTTGCTCCATCCAAGCATCTTTTTTCTTTTCTTTTTTTTTTGTTGTTGTTGTCGAATTTTATAAGAAAAAAATTCCATAACTATAATCATCATCATTATGATTCTGGAAAAATGAAATAATCAATCTCTTTTTCTCTCGTTTTTCTCTATCTTGTTTTAGATTTTCTATTCGCATTTTGGTTTCCGGAATCACAATTTCATTGTGACAATTTGGTGAAAACGTGAAACAACGAAGAAATATTAAACCGAAAAAGCAATGAATCAATGAATCAATCAGGAAGAAAAAAATTGAATCAAAAATCAAAAATGAAATGTAGTAGAAATTGACGACAATCGACCAATCAATCAATCAATTGATTTTTTTTCTTCATTCATTTAATAACAACAAACAGAAAAACTTTGAAATTTTTTCTTCAAACAAGGTGCCATTCTTCTTCTTCTTCATCAGATCATCACTTTTTTAACACTTTTTTTTTCACAAATATCAACAAACAAACAGCATCAAATTGGTGCTGGGGTAATGATGACAAGAAATATAAATTTCAAATCCATCATCACTATCAATGATGATGATGATGATTATCATCATAAACAACCAAAACATTTTGATCGTTGGCGTAGAAAATTTAAGAAAAATTCTGAATCAATTGCCAAAATCAATAAAATGACAGCAACTACTACTGATAATCAAGATATTTTAGTAATTAATTCTGTGATAATTAACGATTCTTTTACAAATGATGATGATTATCATCAAACAACAAATATGAAAAAACAACAGCAACAACATGATGATGACAAATTTTTCAAAAATGGTGATAATATTGATGATCTCTATGATTATGATGATGATAGTGAGATCAAAATACAAAGGCCTAATTACAGCAACAATGGTGATCAATATTGTTGTCTTCGTAAAAGATTTTATCATAGTCGTTCATCATCATTATCATTATTAACATCTTCAAAATCTTCATCATCAATGATCTTTATGATGATGATAATATCATCAATAATATTAATGATGGTAACAATTGGTTATTGTCGTCATTATATAGCACCAGGTCCATGTACATGGACACATATTATGTCCAATAATCAACAACAACAATTAGTTCGTGATAATCGTTTCAAGTCATCATCATCATCGTTACCATTACCATCATCATTAACAACATCGACAACAAATGAGCTGAGTCATAATAATCATCATCATCACCATTCATCATCTGATACATTATCATCATCCGCATCATCAACAAATGATTTTGATGTATCATTACGTTGTTCAATACCAATATTAACGCCTTATACATTAAATATATCACTTATTGATCCAATACATACAATACGTTTATTGATACAATGTTTTGGTACAAATAATAATGATAATGATAATTTTGGTGGTGGTAGTTTTGATGGTAATTATCATCATCATCATCATCAAACATTATTTCAATTTGATGATCATCAACATTCATCGACAACAATCAATAATAGACAATCATCATATCAACGTTCAACATTACGTAATAACAATGGTATTGGTATTGGTAGCCAACAACAATCAATCAATCAACCATTTGAACATTTACATTCATTACAATCATTACAAATTGATGATTGTTTATTTGATCGTATACCATCCGATATATTTCGTGGCTTATTATCATTAAAAAATTTAACAATACGTCGTTCATCAACAAATATTATTCAGAAAAATGATAATAATGGTGATCAATCAACATTGAACATTGATGATGATCTTATTATTGAACAATATTCATTTCGTCATATTGAATCAACTGTTGAACATTTAGATTTAAGTAAAAATGGTATTAAATCATTACCAAATGATTTATTTTGTCCATTTTTAACATTACATACATTAAATTTATCAAATAATTTTCTAAATAATTTGGTTAGTTTTGGTCTTATTGATCCGGCAACTGGTCGTCTTTGTTTACAAGAATTATATCATTTAGATTTATCAAATAATCATTTAGAATTTGTACCTGAAACAAGTGGTGTTGCTGCATTGAAAAATTTACAATATTTAAATCTTTCATCCAATCATATAACCGAAATTACTGAATTAGCATTTTCAGCATTACGACGTTTACATGTACTTGATTTATCCGGGAATCGTTTACGTACATTACCTGGTCGTATGTTTCGTGATTCGGATGAACTACGTGAATTACATTTGGCTAATAATGGTCTTATTGAATTACCTGTTGGCCTATTTCAAGGTTTATCTAAATTACAAATATTAAATATTGCCGATAATCAAATAACATCCGATACATTAACACCGGAAACATTTGCCGATCTAATACGTGTTATAAAATTAAATTTATCTGGTAATAATTTACATCGTTTACCAGCATCAATATTTCAAAATCAATATTCATTACAAATATTATCATTGGAAAATAATCAATTGGAAATTATTGATGAAGGTTCATTTTCAACATTATATAATTTACAACAATTAATTTTATCGGGTAATCGTTTTCGTCATCTACCGGAATCAATTTTATCCGGATTATTTGTTTTACAACATCTTTCATTATCAAATAATCAATTAGAACATATACATGAAGATGCATTTAAAAATTGTAGCAATTTACAGGTTTGTAGCCATTTTTTTTCTTTATTCTGTTTTCTTCCTATCTATAAAAAAATAATAATTTTCCAATAATGAAACGCACTGGTGGTGTAATATGATCAGAGAAAAAAAATTATTCGACAGTGAATCTTAATTGATGATTTTTTTCGTTTTTCGCTTCTAATTAATTAATTAATCTCAATTATAATTAATTAGTTTTTTTCACTGTCATTTTTTCACTATCACCAACATACACACCAACCAAATGGCACCAGAAAAAAATGTGTCGAAAGCAAAATAGAAACTTGCATGTCTTATATAAACACAGACAGAGAGAATAATTTGATAAAATCTTTCCTTTTTCATTTATATATTCACAATATGTGCATTTTATTAATTTTCTTCGTTTTCGTTTTTTTCATTTTCTCCTCATTCGATACATATATATAGAATCTGGATTTATCATCAAATCGTTTGACAACAATTCCCATGGCTATTCGTTCATTGAACAAATTGTATCAATTAAATTTAGGTGGAAATAAATTTACAACATGGACCGATTCAACAGCATTGATCAATACAAAGATTAAAAAATTCGATCTAAGTGATAATTATTTAGTGAATATATCACGTAATGCATTACGACCATTATCAAAAACATTACAACAATTATATTTGGGTGGTAATCGTTTACGTTCATTAGATAAAGATATATTTATTGATCTACAAAAAACATTACGTTTATTACGATTAGAACGTAATGAATTTACTGATATAATATCATCAACATCGACATCGACATCAACAACATTTCCAACAATCAAACAATTAGATCGATTACAAATATTTAATATTAGTTATAATAAAATCAAACATTTTGATTATTCAATCATACCGAACAATTTGATTATATTGGATATATCGGGTAATCGTTTGGATAAATTATCCAATCAAGATTATGAACAACAACAATTACGTTTAGAACAATTGAATGTTAATGAAAATCAATTGAAAGAAATAACAGCAATATCGATACCGAATTCAATACGAATATTAAATATACGACAAAATCGTTTGGAAAAAATTGATCAATTTGCATTTGTTGCCAAACATAATATAACATTTGTTGATTTACGTAATAATTCATTACGTCGTATTGATAATAATGCATTTCGTTTGGGTGTCCAGCGACCAACAACTGGTTATTATCAATCAGCAGATTATCGATCAGCATTATCAATATCATCCATTGATTTGGAACAGATAGAAGATAATGATAATGGAAAAAATCTGCCCGCACCAATATTTTTAATATCTGGAAATCCATATTTTTGTGATTGTACAATGGAATGGCTGCAACGTGTTAATCAATTAGTTGGTGGTGTAACCGGTTCTGGTCAAATATCAACATATCCAAAAATTGGTGATCTTGATCATGTTGAATGTGAATTAGCATTTTCTCGTCAATCATTAGCTAATAATCGATCTATTTCTACTTCTGCTGCGACTATTTCGAATGAATCAACAACAGCAACTGCAAAATCTAAATCATCAAATAACCATCGAATACCATTATTATTAGCAAATTCATCCAATTTTCTATGTCGTTATCGTTCACATTGTTTTGCATTATGTCATTGTTGTGAATTTGATGCTTGTGATTGTGAAATGATGTGTCCGGAAAATTGTACCTGTTATTATGATCAAACATGGAATACAAATATTGTTGATTGTAGTGGTGGTCATTATCAACAAGTACCATTACGTATACCGATGGATGTTACATCATTATATTTGGATGGTAATCATTTACAAATATTAAATCCACATACATTTATTGGACGTAAAAATCTACGCATATTACATTTAAATCATTCATCAATTGAACAAATATCGAATCGTAGTTTTAATGGTTTAGTTTATTTAGAAGAATTATATTTGGAAAATAATCTATTAACAGCATTATATGGTTATGAATTTGAAAGTTTACATTATCTGACCATATTGAATTTGCAAAATAATCGTCTATCATTTATAAATGATAAAACATTTTATCAATTACGTTCATTACAATCATTACGTATTGATCATAATCATTTACAAACATTTGGTCAATGGTTTGCTATTGAACCGACATCATTGACAATTCAATCATCTGTCAATCAAAATCATCATATTCTTCATCATAATCATCATCATCATCAAAATATATTATCATTACGTTTAGGTGATAATCCATGGTCATGTCAATGTCAATCATTATCAATAATGTATGAAATATTATGGCAATTACGGCAACATATATCGGTTATTGATTATCAACAAATACGTTGTCAACCAAATGGTTCAACATTATTTGTTGGTGGTAGTTCGGCAAATCATTTAATTGATAAATGTAATCTGACCCGACAATATTATCTAATGTTAAATACACCAACATCGACGACAACAAACGGTGGGTTATTGAATCCATTGATCGAACAATCATCATCATCATCATCGCCGATACAACATCAAGATTATTATCCAGCAACAGTAAGACCACCAACACCAGCACCATCACCATCATTACATCAATCAACATCATCATCATCATATCCACAGAATGCAAATAATTTTGATTCAATTTATCATCATCAATCAAGACCAATAAACAATAACAATCAAAATAATAATAATAATGATGATGATGATGATAATGATCCTGATCTTACTTATCAACCAATTGATCTATTAGGTGGTTTAAGACCAAAATTATTACCACCATCACCCCCACAATTACCACCATCGATACAAAATCAATCATATTGGCCATCAGGTTCACATTTTTCAATACCATCATCATCATCAACGACGACATCGATGACATTTAATTCATCATCATGGTTTTGGATGATATTCATACCATCCATTCTTCTGATATTATCAATGACATTATTTTTAACAATACGTTTTAAACAAGATATACAATTATGGTTTTATGGTCATTATGGTATACGTTTATTTGAATCGGGATTTTGTTTTGGTTCCAATGATAATTCATCATCAAATTCTGGTTCTGGATCCGGATCAATTGGATCTACATCAAGATCACGTAAACGTAATGGTCGTAATGGTAATAATGGTAGTGGTTTTAATGATAATTATGTTCGAGATAGTGAAAAATTATTTGATGCATTTGTTATTTATGCTCGGCAAGATGAATCATTTGTTGCTCAACAATTAGCAGCTGAATTAGAATGTGGTTATCCACCATATCGTTTATGTTTACGTTATCGTGATTTACCTGCACCACCACCACCAACGACAACAGCAACAAATTTAGATTCATTAACAACAACATCATCATCATCACCAATATCCAATGGTATAATGTCAACAAAAGATCATGGTTATGCATTTGATGCTGTTACACAAGCAATTGAATGTTCACGTCGTACATTAGTTGTTATATCGGAACAATTTTTACAATCAGAATGGTGTAAATTTGAATTAAAAGCAGCACATCAAGAAACATTGACCAGTTGTAAAACACATCGATTAATTGTTGTTGTTGTACCGACACAGCAACAACAACAACAACAACAACCATTAGTTAGTTCGCCAATGACATCTCCTACATTATCAACACAAATTCAAATGAATAACAATAACAATAATAATACACCAGCTAAACAAGCCGAATCATTATTACAACGTTTAGATACGGAAACAAAAACTTGTATACGTGGTGTAACAATATTAACATGGCAAGAACGTCGTTTTTGGGAAAAATTACGTTTTGCAATGCCAGCTAATTCTACAGTTGGTATTAATCATACTGGTAATGTTAACAATACTACTAGTGGTGGATTATCATCATCATTAGGTGTTATTGGATCAATGAGTGGTGCACTTGGATCATTAACATTTGGTAATAATAATAATACCATGATCAGTAATATTGGTAGAAATCATCATCATCATCATCAACATCATGGACCAGTTGTTGTTGATAATTTAAAAGGACGTACATCGACAGTTGTTGTTACAACAAATAATTGTGGTTATCCAACATTACAACCATCATCATTAAGTTCATCATCATCATTGGCAAGAAGTTCAATTCTTTATGATACAACAACATTGAACAATCATCATCAACAACAACAACAACAAATCTATCAACATCATTATCATTATGCACAATTACCATCAACAACAACAACAAATCAATCAGATCGATCAACAATTAATCAATCAACAATGTCATTACATAAATTAGGTAAAAATAATAATAATACATTTCAAACAAAACCATTACCACCGCCACCAAATCAACCATTACCGCCATTGCCATCATCATTGATTAATAATAATAATAATTCTGTTATACAAAGTCCATTACTTCATTCAAATCATCATCATCAACAACAACAACAACAGGCACCACCTCCATATGTAGAATATACAAATCAACAACAACAAATGATTATTGAATCAAATCCAGATTGTACAAATCAACAACAAACAATGTTAAATTTACATGGTAGACGTCCACAACAATCATCTTATTATTTAACACAACAACAACAACGTACAAGGGCGCCATTATAATTTTTTTTCCTGTTTTTGTTTTGTTTAATTTTGTAAATATGAATTTTCATTTTCTACACACACACACCCTGTATTGATGATCAATTTTTCTCATCAATTTTATATATTGGCCTTTTTTTTGTAATTTCTGTATTTTATCATCATTACTTGTCATCTTTGTAATTATTTTATTACACTTACCTTTATATTATAAAAATTCTGTAATTCTGATAACAATTTTTTTCTTCTTCTTTCTCTCACTCTCGCTACAGCCAGAAAATTTATTCTTTGAAAAAAAAATTGTAATTTGTAATATTTTAAGTAAAAATTATTATTATTATTATTATTATTAAATGTGAAGAATAAAATAAGTAAATAAAATAAAAAATTATTTCTTTATTAATTATTGATCATGGGGAGAAGATTTGTATAAAAAAAAATTTAATTTTATTAAAAATGCTGATGCTGATGATGATTATTTGATATGAAAAAATGTATGTTAACAAAAAAAAAAGTGATGGACGAATCGATTGATTGAATTTCACAAAATAACGTTAATGATGATTTTTTTTTTTTGAATATTTTTCTTTATATTAATTATGATGGAGAAAAAAAACAAGATGCTAAACAAAAAATGAAATGGCCTTAAAACCGATGAAAATTGATGGTTTTTGTTTCTGTTTGTTTGATGAATTGCTGATGTTTTTCGCCGGTTTGTTATTCGTTTAACAAGCAACATTATACCACCAATCACAAACACCATTCTTTGAATTAAATACCGTACCAATTGGACAAAGAAATGAATGCATTTGACCATTTTGACAAATATGCCATACCTGACAGCCAGTTTCTTCATCTGGATAAACACCATCAGATTTTTTATCATTACATTCGAATGATGTTTTTGGTATTGTATTTAATGATGCTTTTGGTGAACCACTACCAATACCAGCAATTGGTTTACGTTGTTTCAATGATGATGATTTTTTCTTCTTGCTATTACCGTTATTATCTGATTGATGATGATTAGATGGTATCAATGAATTATGATTATGATTATGATGGCTAATTGTTTCGGATGTTTCAATCATATCATCATAATGTCGATGTTGTTGACCATTATCATTTTCATCCGGATAATAATCATCATCATCCTCATAATCATCGTTATTACTGCCATTATCATTATCATTATTTGAATGATTTTTATCGGTTAATTTTTTATTACGTAATTTTTGTTGATTTAGTGATGATGATGATGGTTCTGAATGACCATTCGATTGATAATGGCGACGTCTTGATTTTTTTGTTTTTCTTTTTCTCATTGAATAATTTTGATTCGAATTATAACGATGACGATTTCTTTGTCGTTTTGTTTTATTCTTTGCAAAAAAAAGTAGTAGTGGTAGTTTGTGTGGGAGTGGGAAAAATAGAAAAGAAAAAAAATGATTAGTAAAATAAAATTTTGGGAAATTTTCTGGAAAATTTTTTTAAAAAAATATAACAAAAAAGAACCTATAATACAAAGAAAAGAAAAGAAAATTTTTTCAGTTTTTCATTAAACTGATGATGATCATGATTTTCGCTGATTAATTGTTTCGTTCATTCTTCTTTTGTTGTTGTTTGTTTCGACCAAACAAAATGAAAAAATCCAGAAAAAATCAAAACTTGAACGAATTTCGAAAAAAAACGAATGAAAAGAACAAAAAAGAGTTTAAAATTCTCTAGCTTAGTAGTGGATGATGATGATGAACAACAACAAGAATGGACCCCATTTCTTTTTTTCTGTTTCCTACTAATATTGATGATGTTCTGATAACAACAACAACAACAAAATCCCAAATGACAATATCTTTTTGTAAAAATGATTTTTTTTTATTTTTTTTTGACTGTGTAAAAAAAAACTTAAATTATTATTAGTAAATGATAATAATCATCATCATCACCAACGACAATGATTATGATGATAATAATAATAATGATGATTATAATGATGATGATGATGATGACAGTCGTTGTTTGTAATAATAATAATAATAATTGTCTAAGATTCTAGGCTTAAGATTTTTTTTTCTTTGGTTCTGGATTGAGGAAAAAAAAGGATGGGTGGGTGGAAATAGTGTGCCAACAAAAAAAAAACTATTTCCACTATTATAACATAAAAAAATTGGTCGAAGAAATAAATGAATGATTCTTGAACACACTCAGACAGACAATAAGAATCTTAACAGCAACCAAAGAAATTAGTGCAAAACTTGAATCAAATAAAAATTGCAACCAAGAATGATAATAAGGACAACAGCAGCAGAGAAAAAAAAACCATCAATTATCAAATCAAATCGATTAATAACAAACATACACATACACACATTCCATTCATAAACGACATACAAAGGCAATGATGATGATGATGATGGTGGAACAAAAACGATTCATTCATTACACCCACTCAAACAAACCAGCCAAACAATCTTATTATCTTTCTGTTATCACATCAAACGCTGAATGAAAATGAATGAATTGAAATTGGCAAAAAGACAGTGAAAGAATCCAAGAACCTTAAAGACAATCTTTTCTTTTCTTTTTTTCGTAAAACTTTCTTACAATTATCGAAATGAATCATCATTATTATTTTAAAGATGGTAATTTTTCTTTTTTTATTTCGGTTGTTACAATTTTTTTTTAAATGTTATCATCGTTAATTGGTAGGTTTCCTATGTTTCCTATGTCTTAAAGAATCAAAAAAAGAAAGTTTCCGAAATTTTTTTTTGATTTGAAATTTCCTTCGATTCGCTTTAAAAAAGAGACGCCAAACGATCATCATCATTGTGTAAACTGAGGAAAAGGAAAGGAAAAGGAAAAAATCTTGACTTTAACGATGATGATGATGATGATAAACGAAAATGCCATTTGTTTTTTTGGTTTTTTTCCTGGCTAGTTGTCAAGATAAACGAACAACAGAAAACCTTATTTGCCAATCTTTAATTCTTTTTGATTTTTCTTTCTTTCCTTTCCTGTCTTTTTTTTCTAAAGAGATCAATGTTTGCTTGTTGTTGAAACTTTCATTTTTTTTATCTGGTAATGTTATTTATGTATTTTTTGCTTGTTTGTTTGTTTGGTTTGTTTGGTTTGATATCAACGAAAGTTTAATTTCCGTTTTGTTGTTGTTATCTTTGTTTTTTTGTTTTTTTTTTGATTCGAGCCGGATGACAAATATATTGAGAATAACAGAAGAAGAAGAAGAAGAAGAATGAGAAACAAGGACATATGACATCCATCTTATCATCATTGAATTAACGTTTTGACCATTATCATCATCATAAGCATGGACATTATAAACAATATAAGAACCGAAAAAAACAAAACCAAAATTCAAAAAAAAAAGAAAGAAAGAAAGATTTCCCCATTCTTCTTTTTTTCTTCTATTTCGAAGATTTTCAGTTTCATCATATTGTGTGTGATCCATCATAATTCACACAGCCAGCCAGCCAGCCAGCCTGGCCAGATATTTGAAAAAAACAAAGATGTTAATGACGAAATACATACTCCATGGATTCTATGGATTCTGTAGATTCAGTTTTTTTGGTTGGTTCGTGCTTTCCAATAATGTTTCACTAATAATTTTCACTATGTGAACAAAAAAAATGTTTCTTTTTTTCGTTTTTTTTGTTTTTTGGTTGGCTTTTCACCACAATCAATCATCGATTGGTGGCGGCAAACACCACCACCACCACCGTCATCATCATACACTGAAAGTGATTCAAAAAAAAAGAAGAAAGAATATTCTTTTCTTTTTTTGGCTAAGAATAAGTCGATTTTTTTCCATTTTCATCATCATCATTATAAACATTGAAAATTTTTTTTCGCCATTGGATTTTCTCGATTGATAATGGATCTCTATTCCTCTCACTTTCTCTTTTCTACGTGAAAAAATCGAACCAGAAAGAAAACCAGAAAATTTTTTTTCTGGTTCCAATAGAAAAATCAATGACTATGATCAAAGATGATGATCAGCCAAAAAAGCTAATTGAATATTCATTTTTGGGCGTCATTCTTTTTCCTTTCTTTTCTTTTGGGTGTTGGTTGATGATGATGATGATGGTGATTTTCCAATCTCCATATCATTTTCCATTTTTGGAAACATTATTCTTTTTGTTTTGTTCATCCAATTTGTCATTTTGCCTAAAAAATTCATTCATTCATGATTCTGTAGTGCCTAGTTTCTTTTCTATTCTTTTGACATTTTCATACAATAAAAGTTTTCAAATTAGTTTCATTTTTTTATTGAAGCTAATTCTTTCTTCAAAAAGAATTCTTTGTTAACCCCAAGAAAAGTCCCAAAAAATCTTGCATTGTTTCCGTATTTGTCTTCAATTTATCATTTGAAAAATGCGAATTTTTTTTAAATGTTCCATATAATTAACTACTCAAGTCAGTTAGTTAATTTTTTTAAAAAAGAAATAGCGATAAAAATGATTTTTTTTCCTTTCATCATGATGATGATCAATTTAGCATCAGTTTTGTTTCGTCTAAGCTGTCCCCTTCATAATAATAGTAATAATAATAATTTCCAATGATGATGATAATAATAATGATATATAGCCATATTTTTGATTGTCCTTTCTTTTTTGTTCTCCGCTGTTGCTGGATTATTCTCAATTGATTTTCTCTTGCTTTTCGTTTTTCGTTTTTTTGGATCACTCTGGAATTTGTTTCTGAAACTCCCTGCTTTTTTCTGGCGAAACAAAAAAAAGCTAGAATCATAAGATCAGCCCAACATGAAAAAACAAATGCTTTATTTGATGGTCACCCAAGTAATAATCATCTTTTTTTTTGTTTGGCCAGAAAATCGTATGGAAACAGAAAAAAATATATTTTCCTGGTTTATTATCCGAATAGAATAACTTTAATGTAGTGAGTAAAATGTAGAAAAAGTGTCAGAAACAGAGAAAAAAATTAGAAAATTTCCAAATCACCAAATATCACTCAACTGGATTTCTTTCTTCAATTTTCTCTCCCCCCGTCCCCTCTCGTTATTGTTTTGGTCAAGATAATAAAAAGTGATGATGATGGTGGTGGTGGTGGTGGTGATGGGGGGAGGGAAACAAAAAGTTCGATAACAGAGGATTAATATATTCAAGCTTAGTGTAACATAATCATCACATCACATCACATCAATGCAGAATGTTTTTCACAATCAATTTGTTTTTGTTTTTGTTTCAATTTCAATTCATTATCCTCTTATGATGTCGATAATGTTGTTGTTGTTGTTGATGGAAAAGCTTGTAATTTTGCTTCTTTTAAATGACTAATTCATCAACAACAACAACAAAAAAGTCAAAATATTTTAAGCTGATTTGTTTTAATATGATTTTCAATGATAGAATTCAACAAACAACGGAAAACGAAACATTCACTTGCACACTCACACAAAGACAGAATCTCGATAGTATCGATATGCAAAAAAGCAAAAAAAAAAAACGAAAAATTCGATTGAACTGAATTTTCAAACGTTTTTTTTCATTTCGTAAACAAATTTTCTTCTGTTTTCCGTCGAACTAAAAAAAAGAATTGAATGGGGTAACGAAAACGAAAAAAAAACTTAAAGAATTGATGATTCAGCTAGAATAACAATGATAATAATAATCATCTACCATTCACATCATCATCACAATATTTGACTGGTTTGTTTCAGTTTTTGTTTCTCTTGTCTTTATCGAATTGAAACAACTGAATCAAAAGAATCGAAGAGAACAAAACTTTTTTTTTTGTTCAACCGGGCAATTTGAAATTAATGGAATTTCTACTTTCTTTTTTTGCTTTTTCTCTGTCTCGGTCTGTCTTATCGATGAAATTGAAATTGAACAAGATGAAGAAGAAGAAGGAAAAAGATTTGGTCCATATTTTCTTTATTTTCGACATTGTCAAATTTTTTTGTTTTTTTGTTTCAAAAACAACAAAGATTTATAGATTTTTTTTCATCAACAACCTCGGCGTCATCATTATTATCATCGGTTTCTTTTTTGCTTTTTGTCTTGTCTTGCCTTGTCTTGCCTTGCCAACAGAAAAGGAAACATACAAATTCTGTTCATCGCAAACAAAGAATTTTTCCGTTCGTTTGTTTTGTTTGATAAAATCTTGATCTAGCCTATAGGGATGAAATTGGTTGAAACGAAACAAGAATTTTTTTTTGGAAAATATGGCGCCATAAACTGACCATCATCATTATTTTTCTTGATGAAAAACTCAATTTAAACTGATTTTTTTTCTTGGTTCATTTTAATTTGTTGTTCGAACGAACAACAACAATAGAAAATTAAACTAATCAAACAAATAAGTTTGTGTTGGGCGACAACAACGAAAAACAAGAAAAAACAAAATTGAATCCATCAGACAAATGCAATTAATAATAATGATGAAAAGCAGAAAAAATTTGTCATTTGCTTTGGGTCATTCTGTTTTCATTGGACTTTATCAAAAAAAACATCTTTTTTTTCTACTTTTCTGGTCTTCCTTAATCCTTTTGATCGCACAAACCTTTCAACAAAAAACGAAAACATCATCATCATCATTTGAGAAACATTGTTTCAGAAGAAAAACAAAGATTATTTTTATTATTTTTATTCGCTTGAATCGATAATGTTGACGATGATGATTACATTTTATTTACCACTTATTCAATCAACCGATATTCATTCAGATATCGATTACAACCCAAAAAAAACACACACTTTATTCACTAAAATAAAGATATTAAGTGAAACAACAACAAACCAACAAGCCTTCTGGTTATGTATTTTTGTTCTACCATATAGAACATTTTCATCATCATCATCATCATCAAGAATATTCATCAAACCGGAATAACCAAAAAAACCATAGACCAGAAAAAAAGAAGAATTTCATTTGTGTGAATTGATTACAATTGTGTGGTAATGTTGGCCAACATCTGAAGAAAAATAATGATGATGATCGACAATGCCATAGGGCAGTCTGTCAATGGATTCTACGATACAATATGGATCGAAAAACGGTGTGTTTTTTCGTTTCGTTTTGTTTTTTGTTTTGTTTTCATCGATGATGATGTTGTCGTCGAATGATAAATTGAAAATTAAATGGAAAAATTTTCTTTCAATGCCTAAAGGCTAAAATTGTACGGAACGAAACGCAACAACAACCGAACGAATGGATGGATATAATGTGTGAAAGAAATAAAAAAATGGGAAATTTTTCAAACTAAATTAAATCAATATTTTTGAAACTTTGCACCCGAATTTAACAATAAAAAATGAAATCAAGTGCAATTCGATGAAACAAAATAATGATCGAAGGATGATCGAGTGATGAACGCATTTTGAATTTTAATTTTATTTTTTGTTTCGTTTATCGTTTACTTGGACAATCCGATGATGATTTTTGATCGTTTTTTATATCGATACACCATCGATCTATATTCTGGAAAAAATTCAGACTAACAGAATTTTTTTTGTTCGATAAAGAAAAAAGAAAATCATTCAACCAAACGAAATGGAAAAACTTTTCTTTTTTCTTTTTTTTGAAAATTGAAAATCAAAAATCAATGTGAAACTTACTTTACGTAAATTAGTTAATGATTCAGATGGCGCCATCTGTGTTCGTTGAATCGAAGGTTTTGGTACATAACCATTTAGGCTATACATTGCCGGACGATTTACTTTTGGTAATAATAATTTCGGTATACGTAATGGTCGTTTATTAATTGTTTGTTGTTGTTGTTGATTTGCATAACGTTCAAATAATAATAATGTTGTTGGTATTGTTGTTGTTGTTGTTGTTGTTGAATTATTATCATCCGATACTGATGATGATATCGATAACGATCCATTCGATTTTGGTTTATTACGATTTCGTCGATTTACCTGCCATAAATCTATATTTCATTGCGAAACAAAGAAAAGAAAATTATTTAAATTTTACAAAAACAATTTTTTCAATTTACAAAAACCAAAACCTTTAATCAACATTGATTCTTCTGGATTTTTGATTTTAATTTCATCCAAATCATCCATTGTTGTTGTTGTTGTTGTTGGTGATATTGTTGTTGTTGTTGATTGTAATGATGATGATCGATATTCATTTTTATCCATATTATCTGATTTATTATTACTACCATCAAGTAATATAAATGAATCAATTTGTTCAACATTAGCTGATGATATGGATGAAGAATCATTTGGCTGTAATTCAAGTTGTTGTTCGGATTCTTTAGATTCTTTATCAGGTGTAATTAATGAAACAACATCAACATCACTATCAACAAGTTGATAATATTCAGGTGATGATTTTATATCAACATTATTATTATCGATTGTTTGATTATTATTATCGATAATTATATCATCATCTGGATTTACAATTGTAATTGGTTGTTGTGGATATTCATAAACATTAACAAATGGTTCATCCATTGAATGATTATTATCATTTGTCAACATTTCCATTGAATATGATCGATCATTATTATCGATATTCGCTGTATTATTGTTTGATGAATCAATTGAATTATCATTTTGATCATCGATATTAATCAATTGTGGCGGTTCTGTTGTCGTAGTTATCATTGGTGTTGTCATTGATTCTTGTTTTTTATTATCTGGATTTGTAAACAAACCGATACGTTTAAAAAATGATTTTGTTGTTTTTGTTGCTGTTGTTGTTGGTAAAAATAATGGCGGAATATAATGACGATATGATTGACTACTTGTTGATTCTTCTGTATGTAATAAATCATTTGATGATGGTGGTGATAATCCAGTTTCACTTGTTGTTGTTGTTAATTGTTGTTGTTGTTGTTGAATACTATTATTATCATTTTGTTCATTAAATAATCCATTATTATTATTATTATTATTATTATTTAAATTGTGGCCAGATGTATTATCATTATCATCGATTGTATAAAAACATTTGGGCGATATTATAGAATCATCATTATTATTATTATCTTCGTTATCAGTTTTATTAATCGAACGTATTATTGATAAACAGATAATTTTTTCACGTTTTGGTAACTGTGTTGTCATCATCATTGTTTGTGTTGCTGGCTGTAATATTTGATCAACAGCAGCTGCCGCTGCTGCTGCTGTATCTGTTGTTGATGGTAAAAATGATTGCGTTTGATATGAATCTAAAAGTTGTTGAGGCTGTGATTGCGATGGAAATGTTCCAATCGTTATTATATCATCCATTGATGAATTATGGTTATTATTATTATCGAAATTTTCATTATTCATGAATAATGATTGTTTTTTACGTAATTTTATTACTTTTTTCAATAATTTTCGTTTATTATTTAAACGTAACATTGCTAAATCGGTTGATGTTAGTACATCAAATTCATTTGATCTTCGTACTTTTGTCATACGATGTTGTCGTCGTATAATACGTGCACGTTGTTGTTGCGGTGGTAAATCACCAGAATCTATTTTGAAAGCAAAAATCAATATTAATCATCAATGAAAACATCAATAAGCATACCTTGTTGTTGTTGGTTAGAATTTTCCTCAATTATCATAGGTGTTGTACTTTTATTATCGCCATTATCATTCGAAATAATTGATTGTTTTGCTAAATTCATGAAAAAAAAACAACGAAAAACAAAATTATTCATTTTGAAAATGTTTTTGAATTTCATGGATGGTTTACCAAAAAAAAAAAAAAAAACAAACATAAATTCTCATCATTTGACATTTTTGTGTGTGGTCAAACATGGACACTGTAATTTATTGACAGTGAAAAATTCCCACTTGAAATGATGATATCAAATTTCAACGAAAAGACATTTTCGCACAAGTTTGAGACAAAAGAGAATTTCCTTTTCAAGTTTTACTTTTTCTTGATGGTTATTTAATCAATTATTTGCAGGCAATTTGTTTTGTTTTTTCAATCAAATCAAATCAAATCGATAATTATTATCATCGAAATGTTAGTTTGTTTTACGATAATAATAATGATGATGATTATAATTATAATTATAAAGGTCAAAAATCAAGCTTAAAGCAACAAACAAAAAACAAATCGAAAAGGAAATCCAATCAAAAAATTGATTGATTGATTGATTTGATTTGATTGATTTGAATTCGATTTGATTTGATTAGAAATCAAATTAAATCAAAATTTCTTTGAATTTTGATTGATTGAAAAAGACAAATTGGCTTCTTTGTTTTCAACGGAAACATTGTTTTTGACCCATGTCTATTATCATCATCATCATCATTAGCATTAATAGATTATCTTTGTAAATTACCATCAAGATTTTTATCGTCGTCGTCGTCATCAGTCATTGTAACATCTTACTTTTTTTTCTGTTTCAGTTTTTGCAAATTCAAAAAAATTCAAAAAATCAAAAAAAAATCAAATTGAAAATAAATCCTTCAATTTCGACGATTTCAATAAAACAACAAAATTAATTCACTTCTCCAATAAAATTTTCTCACTTAATAATATATTTTTCCAGTGATTATAAATTTTACTTGATTAACAAGTATCAAGTGTGTGTGTGTTTGGTGATGAATAATTAGTTTCAGAAATAATATTTTCAGTTTAGTGTTATTTTCGTTTGTAAATCCTTTCTTTTCACCTTGTTTTCACACTGTTTCATCATTATGTTTTGGATGATTATTTTGGATGATCATTTATAAATGGATTACTTTCATGGATTATTATGGTCAAGAATTATTGAAATGTTACCTTTTTCCAATGAAACTTTGTTGTTGTTGTTGTTAACAAAATTGTCGATTGATAATGATAATGGTAATGATTGTTGTTGTTGATTGTTTATGAAAATGAAAATCATTAATCATAAAAAACAACACGTAGCACGTGTTCGTGATATTATTGTTGTTTTGGAAACGAAATCAATCGATCGATTTTCAAAATTTTCAACAAAAACCAATTATCAAATGGATTGAAAATTGAGAATTTGAGAAGAAAACGAAAATCAATCGATTGATTAATTATCGATAATTTTTTTTGTGATAATGTGGTACGCTCGTTCGATATATATAGACAGGTGTTTTGTTTCTGATTTGCAATTAGTAAAAAATATCATAATTTACTCTGATTATGATGAATCTAACGGTTTGTTTGATTTGACTTGATGAAAATCTTTTTTGACCTCAAAATTATCAATTATAAAGTAAACAAACTTGTAGTTTTTGTTTTTGTTGTTGTTTATTTTTTTTCCTCGTTGCACATACGATATGATAAAATCTTTTAACTGCATTCAATAATTATTCGTTCATTGACATTTTTTTTTATCAAAAAATTGTCGCACTTAAACGACATTAATCTCTTGTTCTTCTGTTGTTTTTCTTTGCAAAAATATCAAAAATTTTTGGTTTCCAAATCAATCAAAGAAATCTATATTGGGAGATTATATCGTGTGAAAATTCTTCATCATTTTTTTTCAATTAAAACACAAAACAAGAATTACATCATAACATCATCGATATCGAAAGAAAACTCTTTCAATAAATCAATCTTTTTGCTTTTACAACTTTCAACATTGCCAAATCAATTTCACAGAAAAATGCAAATAAAAAACAAAAAACAACAGCAAAAAAACAAAAATCAATCCAATTACAATCCATCAATTCTCAACAACAAAAGCAAAAAATTTTTTTTGATAGAATGACAGCTTTAACTGATTTTTTTTACTGAATTTTTTCTTATTTGAAAATTGTTTTCTTTCTGTCTGTCTTGTGTTCTAATATGATTTTCAACACATATTTCCTGGTGGAACACAAATCAAAATGTCAATCGAATATCGTTTGATTCCACAAAAAAACTACCATCATCACCACTATAGTTAGTTAGAAATTCATGATTATTCATTTGATTGATTAGTGTTTATTTGATTTTTAAATGTCTAAAGTTTTTTTTCCTTATTTTTTCTTCGTTGTAAGTTAAAATGGCTATATAAATGAATAATTGATCCAAATTTATCAACAACATTCACGACATTTGTGTGTGACCTTCAATAGAAATTGAAACAGAAGCAAAAAAATTGTCTGATGTTTTCGTCCTACATTCATGATTAAATCATGAAATAAAAAAAAATGTTATAATCGAAAAAAAAATTATAAATAAACAAATTAATTACACACACAGAATAAATGAATTGACATTTTTTTCTCTCTTCCCTGATTACTCTGTCTCTGATCTTTGAATCATTTCGACATTTGAATTCAATTCCTGATTGATAGCAGCAAGCTGATTGGATTTTTTTTTTGGCCAAAAAAAAATCTATGAATATTTTATCACCAACATTTGAAATGAAACTGACGAACAACGAAAATCAAGGCGTTGCTGTATAGGAATGTAATCCAAAATCTTAAAATAAAATCTTAATCCCCCTTATTTGCTGATTGATCAAAAAAATAGATCAATTTGAATTTAGACAATTGAAACTAATAGCAGTAAGAGTAGGTGCGTGTGTGTTAGTTTTCTGGAAATTTTCGTTTTCATTTCTTTTTTTCCCCCATAAAAAATCGAAGAAGATCAATCAGAATCAGATCAATCAATCAATCAATCAATCAATCGTTAGCATGACACACACACACACACACCGATTAACGGAATACCTTTGACCTTGGAATTTTTTCATTTCAGTTACCCAAAAAAATTGTGATTATGATTATGATGATGATCAATTCATAATGATAATTGGTCATTGAATTCAATTCAATTCATTCATTGTATTTAGATTTTTTTTGATTAACATTGAAATTAATGTTAATGAAACCAACAAGAAAAACATGAAGAAAATGAAAACAAAACAGGAAAAAATGGAAAAGCATGATTAAATCATAATCATCAATTACCAATTGCAATTTTCAACAATTTTTTTTCTGTTGTTGTTGCCAAATTGGCATTGTGAACAGAAATAAAACCTTGCATTGAATTTTCTAGTTTTTAAAAAAAAGAAATTTGAAAATTCAATATTGTTTTCCTGCAACAACAGAAAACAAAAATCTGCTGTAATAATCATCATTATTT